TTTTTAGATTACGTATTTACGCTCGTCAGATGTTACGGTACACGATTCGAGGATCCTTGAAAAATAAATTAAAACATACATGCGGTTTAAACTCGGATGCGCTCATAAATTCGGAAAAATTTGGGAAATAGCATCCTCGTCCCTTTTCGAACTTTCAATTCTCTTTTCTACAATACACTCGATTAAAAATGGGCATCAAGTGTGGTAAACAAAAGTATTTAGAGGAGGATGAGAAAGGTATCTCATTAAAACCCAAGAAATCGTTAGTAGGGAAATGCCGGGAATGTCATAGACCAAATACCAATAAACATCAAAAAGTCGGATGGTGTCATTCGTGCAATACTTTTAGATTCAAAAATGATTTTTATAATTGGTCGAGTGGCAACGATGCAGTAGATTATTTTATTCAAGAAACTCAGTTGAATGCCAAGAGTCACGGCGATGTATTAGAATGGATACCGTATGAATCGATAGACAGTGTAGACTACATAGCAAAAGGTGGTTACGGAACTGTTTTCTCGGCAACATGGAAAGATGGCTATATCACGCATTGGGACAAGAAAACAAAAAGGTGGGCTCGAAGTGGTTCAATGATTGTCACCGTTAAAAGCATCGATAATTCAGCCAACATGACCGGAGAATTTTTCCATGAAGTACGCATCATCGAATGTCCTTATCTTATTGAGCATCGCATTCATATTGTTTTATTGTTGCTATTGCTGTTGTATTATTATTAACTATTTATTTATACTTTTTTTTTTTTTATTTTTGTTTGTTGTTCTTGGTGCTGTTGTTGAATCGCTTAAAAAGATTCGCACATATCTTCAAAGTGGTATGGGAAACCAAACAACCATGCGAGTCTATGGTATCACCCAGGACCCCCAAACACAAGATTACATGATAGTTAGCGAATATGCAAATAATGGAAATTTGCGGAGCTTCCTCGTTCAAAATAATCGAAAGTTAAATTGGGAGAGAAGATTACGAATATTGCTCAAAATTGCCATGGCACTTCAAGATCTTCATCAAGCTGGATTTGTTCATAAAGATCTTCATAGTGGTAATATCTTGCAAGTCGATGAATGTATCAAGATCAGCGACTTTGGTCTGTGTCAAACACCAAAGGGAGGCAACATTTTACGTGGCGTCCTGCCATATGTCGCACCTGAGGTTTTGCAGGGAATGGGATACACATCATCCGCGGACATTTATAGTTTTGCCATTGTTATGTGGGAAGTTGCAGCTGGAATTCCACCGTTCAGCAATCGTGCTCATGATAGTAATCTCGCATTTGGGATCTGCGATGGAATACGACCCCCAATAATGGAAGGAATACCAAAATCTTTTATAACACTCATGGAAAGATGTTGGAATTCGAATCCGGAAAATCGTCCAAATGTCCATGAAATTACAGGGTTGCTGTTTAAGTGGCATTTTGACTTGGAGCAAAAACGTCCAAGTGACACTTCCGTTACTATAAATGACAGACTACCGGGACAAGGTCCTCACAAACATATTGTGGACCCAGCAGTTTTGAAAATTCACCCTGAAGCGCACTATACAAGTAGACCACTTAAATTTATTGATTCGATACAAATAAGTTTCGTTAATCGAGCTCGTCATGATTCCGCATTCGGAAGCGCAACACGACGTAAGTTTAAATTTTCCATGTGTCTATCTAAATAATGTGTTGAATTAATGTTGTACTGTCTTGATGTTTATAGGCTGACTTAACAAATTTTAAAAAAATCTGATAAATATTAGTCTTGCCCACGAACAGTCTAAGTAAAAATGGTATGAAAATATCTATGCAAATGTTAATCTCAGTTTGTAACATTTCATCACGAAATCTACAATTCCAGGTGGATCCGATATACTTTCTCATGATAGCATAAGTAAATTATGATTTGGTCCATTGCAAATCTTCTTGAATTAATTCATCGACCGATAACCATATTAAGCACGTATGTCTTATACATAGGCGAGTCAAACCAAGCTTCGTTGCCTCAAGTTGATCTTGAGCAACTAAGAACTCCGTCGATGGCAGTTTCAGGTCCTATATACACAGAGTTATTGCGTAAACACTATCGCGCTGACAAGATATTCTACGACGAATCTCAGAATGTTTGTATAGGTAAGGCGATGATAGCTTGCATGCCAACAAGTGACACCGATAAGGATAACCAAATGTTGTCATGCAAAAATATAGATGATGACAGCGAAAATTTGCAGGCAATTTCGCCCGATATTTCGGAAGTAGCCTCGACACGTTATTCGGAAATCTTGTCTGCAGAATTAGCGCACGGTACGTCATTAGGAGTTGAGAGAAGTGCATCTCGTTACTCACTAGCATTGGTAGCTGAAATTCAACGTCGGTTAACGCCAAAGCTACCCGAGGAATACATCACCACACAATCTCAATTGCGTAAAGGAAAATACACGGAATATTTGGAAGGACAAGAGCAAGATCAATACTCGATAAAAACAAATTTTAATGATGCTAGAAAAATTCGTGGAAATTCTGTGAATTCTCCAACAGATTATAGTGGATTGGGCGCAAATAAATATAACAAATACAATAACTACCAAATCAGAAAGGTAGATGTGGTGCAGAACTACCTGGACTCCACCAATAAATACCAAAATCAAATTATGGGCAACATGCAAAATGAGAGCACTGATGAGATGGCGAATTTTAATATCGAAGATAGCGACATGCTGCAATACATTTGTAAACAGCCTATAGTTCAGCGAGGTAGTTATTGGGTTTTTGGTAACTTGTAATAATTTTCATTTGACACCGTGACCATCAAGACCATCTAACGTTGTTTTCAAAAAAAAAAAAAAAGCCAGAAGATTGAAGATTGCGTCATACCCTAATTCTGTGATCACTCGTTTCGAGCACAATCCGGTTTCAAGCACTCCATTAGTAAATATTGCAAATTGAACCTTTATTTATTGTCATTATTATTAAATAATTAACATTAATCATTAAATATATGCTTGATTAGAATGTAATGTCACAAAACAAAACACATTGAACTTATTCAAATTAATGATAAGAGCTGTGCGATATTCATAAAATTTTTATAACGAATCAGCACCTTATTGCACGCAAGCTTGACTTTTTTCAAGACTCTGCTGCATTTAAGTCTATTTCCAATTAGTAAATGGTAGAATATAAAATTACAACGCGAGACGCGAGATTCTATCCTTTCTACAGTATTACAGAAAGGCACTCGCTTTTTGCACTGTCCTCTCCCTACTTTTAATATCATCAATTGCTGACTAGTTATTAAATTTTTCATTTTCTCCTTTAGTATTTATCGAATACATATTATTATTATTTGAAAAAAGCAAAGTATTAGCGCCGCTTATTGTAAATCAATCGATTTTATTAATATGTTGATAAATCATCCAAATAATACTGCTACCATAATATTTGATGTCCAAGAGTTAGACTTATAAAAAGTAGACTACTTTAAACTCCCCTGTTAACATAGAATACATAGATAAATGTAATTTAATAAATATTTATTTATTTTATTCTAAAATTTTTTTCTTTTTATAAATTATATTGTTTATGTGGTATAATTTATTTAACCATTTAAATCAAACAATGATGTATTTTTTTTTTTTTTAAAACCCTCTGTCAGGCTAGTTATGTGTGCTTTATTAAACAATTGTAAGCTGTACATATAGT